GAGCGAACGTGCGCGGCGCTAAGGCGAGAGTCACATTTTGAAAACCACCCGCCATCAATCCGTGAAGCTCTTGCAATTTTTGAAAACGAATGTGCGTGGCGCTAAGGCGAAGGCTTAATTTCGAAAGTCACCCGCACTCAATCCGTGAAACACTTGCATGCTTGTGCAACGAATGTGCGCGGCGCTAAGGCGAAGGCAGAAGTTTGAAAACCACCCGCCGTCAATCCGCGAAGTTCTTGCAAATATTCGAAAAAAGTGTTCGCAGCGCAAAGGCGAGAGCCACATTTTGAAAACCACCCGCCCTCCATTTGTGAAAGCGCTTTAGTTTTTTTTTCCGCTTCAGGTTCATCAGTGGTGCGAAAGTTTTAGGCGACACGCCCGGCCCGCCCTAACAACTGGCCTCGGGGTGCGACAAGGAGAAGTTACGTACAAGGAAGATGGATTCAGTATTGGGCGCCATCGCGTGGCCTTCCTAAGACCTTTTTGGCGTCCTCTTGGGGCAATCTCGGAACTTTCTTGGGGTCTCGTTAGGTTCTTTGGGCCCTTTTTGGGCTGTTTTGGGGGGTCTTCGGGGCCCTCTTGAGGCCGCCTTGGGAGCCCTGGAGGGCCTGCTGGGGCCATTGTGGAGGCCATCGATCAAAGGAGGGGGGGCCCTTACTTCGACTCCTCCCTCAAGAGCGCCTCTTGGTGTCCTCTTGGGGCGCTCTTGGGCCCTCTTGGCGCCGTCTAGGGGGCCTCTTGGGTCCCTCTTTGGCTCTCTCGGGCCATCTTGGGGCCATCTCGAGGCCTCAAAGGGCAATCGGAAGCGAAAAACGAGACGGCGAAACTACTTGATTTCTCTTCGGTGTTCGAGCGATTTTGGTTTCTTAGGGAGGTCATGTGGGTGCTCCGAGGGCACTTTGGGCCGTCTTGAAACGGTCTTTGGCTCCTCTGCGGGCATGTTGGAAGTCATCTTGAGCCATCGTCGGCTATCTTGAGCCATCTTGGAGGCCATCTTGGAGCATCGGAGGCCCTCTTGGAGCCATCTTGGGCGAGAAAGGACCGACCCTCTGACACAAAGCGGAACAGCCCCAACAAAGCTCAGGGAGGGGACGGGGGGGAGTACCTCTCGCCGAAGGGAAGAGGGCTTGGGAAGAGGAGAGAGAACTCGTTAGACCACCTAAGCCCAAACTGCTGGTGGGATTGGAAAGGGATGGGCAGGAGGGCCAGGATGGCAGATATGGCGCGAGCGCGCCTGGCTCGCCCCCCACCAGCCCTTCCTCCTCGGCCTTCCAATCCCTCCCTCCCTTCCCCTCCTACCTCCGATCCCCCTCCCTCCGCACTCCGACTTCCCCTCCTCCTCCTCCTCCGCCTCCTCCGCCTCCTCCTTCTCCTCCTCCTCCTCCTCCTCCGCCTCCTCCTCCTCTCCCTCTCCCCTACTTCCCCTCCATCTTCCACTCTGGGCCTCGAGGAGCGCTCCGGCCTCCTCGACGCTGCTGGGTCTGCCGGCGGCGAGGGGCGCTACCCTTGGTGGGACAGGATGCGTGCCGGTCTCGTGCAGCGCGGCGGATGCGAGGAGGATCAAGCAGTGGCGAAGCGTCCTGGCTCGCCTATAGGCTCACCAAATAATGTTCTAAGAACCTTATGTGGTCTGCACGAGATGTTCTTGGCGCATTTCTGGCTGGGGCTGTCCTGCTTTTCACGCATCGGCTTCTTGCTCTAAGAACATTGTTTTTGTTCTTAGAACATTGTTGGGTTCTAAGAACATGTCGTGGTAGGCCTATAGGAATGCGGGGACGGTCGGTCCCAGCTCAAGAGGAGCGCGTGGACCGATACGGGGCGGAGCTCTTCCAGGCCACGGGGGGCGGACGAGGAGGGGGGCGAGGGGGAGGATGAGAGGAGGGCGGATATACAGTCGGCCCGCATAGTAGGGATGAGCGACTTTCCAAGGGTACCCTTGCATCCTTCTCTTTTGGCCCATCCTTGGCCGCTTTCGCTGGCTGCGCCCGGCTCGCAAAGTGTCAATATCATGGCCTTCAATGCCCGTGCATCCTCACCGTGCGTCCTTATTATACGGGCTGGATGTGTTGGTACGATCGAAGTGGTACGGAAAGAACGGGGCCGAAGACCGGCGTAAGCTCCTTCCCATTTGAGAAGGAGTCGCTGTCGACTTCGCTGCGGGCGTTCTCCATGTGAGACACAAAGACGCCTGCCCAGCAGCGGTCGCTGTCAGTTTTGGACAACATCTGCTGTTGGGGGGCATCGTGCTCGTTTCTCCTGCACCATCCCCGGGCGTGCCAAGGACAGGGGGAGGGAGGAGGATGAGAAGGAGGAGGGCCAGAGCAAGCCCACGATGTATCAGCGATGCGGCGGTGAGTTCGCCCGTCCAAGTCCCCTCCTCCTTGGTTCAGGAGGAAAAAACGCAGACACAATTAATCGTCGATTCCCCAGAAAGTATGGAAAAAATATGGGAAGTGGGGGGGAAGACAAAAACCTAGAACATAGGGCGAATTCTGTTATATGTGTGTATTTATCTGTGTGTCCCTGGGCCCCTTCATTGTTCCCTGCGAGCATACTCTTCCGGTGTGCGAAAAGCGCCCCCCTTGGAAGACTAGCGCCCCTCGGGCCCGTGATGCGGGTCGGAGCTCCGTTTTCACGGCAGCTGTCTCCGAGCTTACCGCCCATCGGTCGTTGAAAGTAGGTGTTTTTGGATTTCCAGATTCCAATCTATTTAAAGCGCCTTCCTACTTCAATGATCGAGTGGCTTCACCTTTTCCGTCCTGCTCAGGGGCTGGACGGAACTCAATCGACTTTCAGCGCCTTCTTGCTTCATATTTCTACCTACTTCTTTCGACCGATGGGTATGAGGAGAGCGACACGGCGGTGTTTTCTAGTTCAAGCAAGTGCCCATGGACAGCCCCGCTTTGATCAGGAGCCGCCCTGCATCCGTGTGGCCTTCGCACACAAAACAAGCATTGAAGCTTCTGGTTGCAACTTCAAAGATTTCGCGGATGAGAGCCCCATCTTTCACAGGAGCCGCCCTCTATCCGTGTAGCCAATGGCCTTCGGCCCATCCCACCACAATGCCTGGGTTGTGGGTCATAGGCCGTTCGGATATTCGTTGGGGTGTCGCGGGAGGCCTCTCGGAGGCTTCTTGGGGCTGTCTTTGGGCCCTCTTGGGCCGTCTTGGTCGGGCGCCTCTGGGGCCATCTTCTTAGCCCTCTCGGGCCGTCTTGAGGCCCTCTTTGGGACCTCTTGGGCCGCCTTGGGGCGGTTTTGGGGGCCTCTTGGGCCGGCTTGGAGCGTCGGAAGCTTGAAAAGTCGAGGGTTTTAGGGGGCTCTTGGGCTGGCTTGGAGCGTCGGAAGCTCGAAAAGCTGGAGGGGGGGGAGGGGGGCGGGCTTCTTAGAAGCACCCCTGCTTCTTAGAAGGCGCGGGTCTCGTCTATAGATGTAAGACCGGCGCCTTCTAAGAAGCAACCTCCTAAGAAGCCCCCACCCTCCCTCCACCCGTGTCCGCGCCGCCAACTCTTGGATCGTCTTGAGGGCCTCCTGGGACTCTCTTGGCCCGTCCTGAGGTCTTCTTGGCCCCGAATAAGTTTCGCGGGAAGATTCGGTCAGCCGCGGGGGGCACGCCAGCAGCCGCGGGGGGCAGTCCAGGAGGCTCTATAGGTTCAGGTGATCGCAACCATGGATCAAGGGGGCGTGCATTAGCGTCGGGTCCCGTTTCAAAATGAAATCGCGGATTTCCACCGCCGAACGAGGCGGCACCGGCCGCATTTTGGGGAGGGCGCCTCCCCCGATCCGTGGATTTGGCGACCGCGCGCCAAATCCATGGATCGCTAATCCATGTTTGCGCATCCCCGATAGATTTGTGAATTTGGGTCCGGTCCCTTAGAATAATCTCCAGGATTGAGGACTGAGGCTTAGGTGATTCGGCAAAGGACCTGAGGACACTCCAAACTCGTGCCTCAAGGGCACGGAGGCGGATATGTTGGGTAATGTTACGCTTGTTTTTTTGTTGAGGAAGTCTCAGGCGAGAGCCCCGTTTTGAGAATTTGCTGGCCACCATCTGTGTAAGTGGTGGGAGTTTATGTGCGGCGCTAAGGCGAGAGCCACATGTTAAAAACCATGGGATCTTCATCCGTGTACCTTGTGTGCGGAGCTGAGGCGAGAGCCACATGTTTGTTGAATACCGCCAGCCCTCCCTCCGTGTAACTGTCGGAAGCTTCGAGGGCCAAAGTGCGCGGCGCGAAGGCGAGAGCCACATGTCGAAAACGACGGTTCCTTTGTCCGTGCATCTGTTGGAAGCTTTAAAAGCCGATTGTGCGCGGACCTCGAGCAAGAGCCATTTGTTTGTTGAACGCCGCTGGCTCCCCATCCGTGTAATTGTTAGAAGCTTTTTAGAGACGAATGTGTGCGGCGCCAAGGCGCGAGCTACATTTTGAAGCTGACCGGCACTCATCCGTGAAACTCATGGAATGTTTACTTCGGAGCGATGCATCGGAAGGAGGTCTCAATGACAAGCGGCGGCCCAGCTACAGATTCGTCAGATGGTGCGACAGGGTTGAGGAGGAAGTGGAGGAGGAGGAGGAGGAGCAGGACGGAGGAGGGGGAGGACGGAGGAGGAGCAGAGAGGGGGATGGGGGAGGAAGCGGATGGGGGAGGAGGAGGACGGATGAAAGAGGATGAGGGGGTGGTGGAGGGCAGAGGGAAGGGCAGGAGGAACGTGGAAGGAGTAGGGGGAGGGGAATGCAGTCACACATGGGAGCAGGTGATAGACGACTGGCTCAGTGACTATCACGGCCAGGACTTCAAGGAATACGTCGACTACGCCATGCACGTCAAGACGCATCTGTCGGTCGGAAACGCAGAGCGCGGATGCGTGTATTGGCTCGTGACGCTCTTTACCTGCGGCCTTTGGCTCTTATTCCGGCGGGGCCCTGCAACTGCCCTGCTGGTTCTCACCAAGACCGGGCGGGTCATCCTGGTCGAAGCCACCCCCATGAGCGTGCTTGGTGCGGGCAGCGCTCCGAGCAGGGCGGCGATCCTCTGGTATGTGAGCGTGCTGGTATTCCTGACGGTTCTCCCGATCACCATCCTCATAACGGTTTCCCCTGGGACGGATCTCTTTAGCACCCTCGTGAAGCTCGAGGGGGCAGTTCCAGACGACGACGACTCCGACGCGGCCGACCACAGCATCACCAGGAAGATCCACCACAGCCTTCGAGGCCTCCCTCCTCCCGTCTCCCTGTTCCATCCTCCTTCCATCCTCCCGCCATCCTCCCTCCCTTGTCGCCTCCCTGATTCCCTGTCTGCTCCTCCTCCTATTCCTTGTTCCCTTGCTCTTCCTCCTCCTATCCCTTCCCGCTCACCACCTCTTGGCGTCAGGGAAATCGGGTCCTGACGGAAACGGGTCTTGGATCCCGCGTTTTTTTCTGGACCAACTTCTCATCGCGAGTCGTCTTTTGGTCGTCCTCACGCTTGGGAAACTATGGGAAGTGGGGGAAATACGACAACCCAGAACATTTGGGAAAATATGGGGAATCCTGGGATTTGTGTGTGTATATATCTATAGATATATACACATACATACATACATACATACATACATACATACATACATACATACATACATACATACATACATACATACATTACATTACATTACATTACATTACATTACATTACATTACATTACATTACATTACATTACATTACATTACATTACATTACATATTATATATATATATATATATATATATATATATATATATATCCCAGGGGACGAGGACCGGGTGCTCGGGACCGCGACCTCGACGGCGCATAGGGGTACCGGGGCCTCTGGGGCGCCCCCGGGACGGCTCCCGAGGGCGCCGGAGGCCGCCAAACAGATCAAGAGGGCGCACAAGCCTTGAAATGTAGCTTGAAGATGCCGACGATGGCTCTAAGAGGGCTTCCAGGAGCCCCCGAGACAGCCAAAGAGGGCCCCAAGAGCCTTCCCAAGAGGGCCCCAAAGGCAAAAATGGCCCCATTCCTTGCGGAAAACGCAATTTTTCAGGGATTCGCCCGGGGAACGGGGGACGTGGCCGCGGGGGTCCCGCCCAGGGACCTCGGCAGGGTATGGGGGGCCTGGGGCCTACTTCCCTTTTTTTATAAAAAATGGGGGCCCGCCCAGGGACCTCGACGGAGCATGGGGGGCCTGGGGCCTTACTTTCTGTATGTTTTTACTGGGCTTCGGCCACCCTCCCAGAGGGCCCTGGGACAGCTTCCCCACACAGCCCCGAAGGGTACCCCACCCGACATTTCGAGCCATCCTCCCCAAAAAGCACCCCAGAGACCCCAAGAAACCTTCAAGAGCCCCCGAAACAAAAACCCAGACGGGCCCCACACTGGGCTGCCAGGAGGCCCCAAGAGGCTCCCAAGGGCCCTCTCCCCAGACGCCCTGAGGTACTCTGGCCGATCCCGAAGCTTCCGGACAACTCTCGGCATCCTGACGCCCCCAACGGGCCCCTGGACCGTCAAACATTTAGGACGAAACTCCGGGCCTATGGAAATTGTCCGGACCTCGGGGCCACTCCAGGGGTCGTCGACGTCGTCGTCGTGGTGGTGGCGGTCGTCGTCGTCGTCGTCGTCGTCGTCGTCGTCGTCGTGATCGTCGTTGTCGTCATCGTCGTCGTCGTCTTCGTCGGCACTCGTCGCCGCCCCCGTCGTCGTCGTCGTCGTCGTCGTCGTCGTCGTCGTCGATGATCACACGAACGAAAACGAGAGCAGCAAAACGTTGCGCAGCCGTGACTAGAACCTAAGAACCTAAGCGCGCGAAGCGCGCGCGTAGTTCTAGTGTGTATATATATATATATATATATTCATGTGTATGTCCCTGGGCCCCTTGAAACGGTGGAACAGCTCAGGGCCCTTTTCCCTGTTGGTCCGTTACCTTCATGGTGGCAACCCCTTCTCCCCGCCCTCTCCCTCCTCGAGAACGGGCCTTCTGGTGGTTCCTCGTCGTCGCGGTCTTCTGGGCACTGTTCGTGTGCTGGCTCATCCGCAACCGCCAGAGGGGCTACGGCAACCGTTCAATCCGAGAGTTCAGGCCCTTGTCGTTGTCGTCGTTGTCGTCGTCGTCGCCGTCGTCGTCGTTCCTCGTCGTCGTTCTTGTCACGTTGGCCATACATACGCATCTTGGCTGTTGCGTTCATTCAGTGCAGTGAGGCATCAAGATAATCATCTTGGCGAAGGACCCAAACATGTGCAGCTGTGGGTAACGCAGGTGTGGGTATCGTCCTGGGTGCACCTCTCCATGGGGCCGCGACGGTGTGACGGGTGTGCAAACATGTGCACGGGTACGCCATGCGGGCGCTGCCACTGGGGCCTTCGGCGGAGCTCCCTAAAGGGCCACGAAGCGCGTGAGGGGTGCGCCGAAAAGCAGTGTGGAACCGCATGCGGGCGCTGCCACTGGGGCCTTCGGTGGAGCTCCCTATTGTTGGGCCACGAAGCGTGTGAGGGGTGCGCCGAAACGCAGTGTGGAACCGCGTGCGGGCGCTACCACTGGGGCTTTCGGTGGAGCTCCCCATGGGGCCACGAAGCGTGTGATGGGTGTGCCGAAATGGGGGGTGGGACCGCATGCTGGCGCTGTCACTGGGGCCTTCGGTGGAGCTCCCTACGGCACCACGAAGCCTGACGGATGCACCGAAATGCAGGGTGGAACCACATGTGGGCGCTGCCATTGGGGCCTTGGGTGGTGCTCCCTAACGGGCCAGGAAGCGTGTGAGGGGTGCGCCGAACCGTGCGAGGGGTGAGCCGAACTGCAGTGTGAAACCGCATGCGAGCGCTGACACTGGGGCCTTCGACGGAGCTCCCTACAGGGCCACGGAGCGTGTGAGGGGTTCGCCGAAAAGCAGCGTGGAACCGCATGCGGGCGCTGCCACTGGGGCTTTCGGTGGAGCTCCCTCTTATTTGGCCACGAAGCGTGTGCGGGGTGCGCCGAAATGCAGTGTGGAACCGCGTGCGGGCGCTACCACTGGGGGCTTTCGGTGGAGCTCCCCATATGGCCACGAAGCGTGTGATGGGTGTGCCGACATGGGGGGTGGGACCGCATGCTGGCGCTGTCACTGGGGCCTTCGGTGGAGCTCCCTATGGTACCACGAAGCCTGACGGATGCACCGAAATGCAGGGTGGAACCACATGTGGGCGTTGCCATTGGGGCCTTCGGTGGTGCTCCCTAACGGGCCACGAAACGCGTGAGGGGTGCGCCGCCGACATTGGGGGTGGATCCACATGCGGGCGCTGCCACTGCGGCCTTCGGTGGACTTCCCTATGGTGCCGCGAATCGTGTGAGGGGTGTGCCGAAACGCAGTGTGGAACCGAAGTGCGGGCGCTGCCCTGGGGCCTTCGGTGGCGATTACTATTGGGGGCCACCGAAGCGTAGTGATGGGGGTTTTTACGTCGTCGTGCGAATTTGGGGGTTGGGTACCGTGTGATGGCGCTGCCAATGGGGCCTTCGGTGGTGCTCCCTATTCGGGCCACGTAGCGTGTGAGGGGAGTGCGCCGATCGCTGCGAGGTGTGAGATGCGAACCTGGGACGGGAGAGGGGTTTGTGAAACGCATGCGTAGCGCTGATCTGGGGCCTTCGACGGAGACTCTAAGGCTCTACTGGGCCACGAAGCGTGTGTGGGTGTGCGAAAAACCAGTGTGGATACCGCGTGCGGGCGTGCCCACTAGGGCTTCGGGTGAAGCTCCATGGGGCCACGAAGGTTGTGTGAGGGGTGTGCCGAAATGGGGGGGTGGGACCGCATGCTGGCGCTGTCACTGGGGCCTTCGGTGGAGCTCCCTATGGTACCACGAAGCCTGACGGATGCACCGAAATGCAGGGTGGAACCACATGTGGGCGCTGCCACTGGGGCCTTCGGTGGTGCTCCCTAACGGGCCACGAAACGTGTGAGGGGTGCGCCGAAATGGGGGGTGGAACCACATGCTGGCGCTGACACTGGGGCCTTCGGTGGAGCTCCTCATGGGACCACGAAGCCTGACGGATGCACCGAAACGCAGTGTGGAACCGCGTGCGGGCGCTGCCACTGGGGCCTTCGGTGGAGCTCCCCATGGGGCCACGAAGCGTGTGATGGGTGTGCCGAAATGGGGGGTGGGACCGCATGCTGGCGCTGTCACTGGGGCCTTCGGTGGAGCTCCCTATGGTACCACGAAGCCTGACGGATGCACCGAAATGCAGGGTGGAACCACATGTGGGCGCTGCCACTGGGGCCTTCGGTGGTGCTCCCTAACGGGCCACGAAACGTGTGAGGGGTGCGCCGAAATGGGGGGTGGAACCACATGCTGGCGCTGACACTGGGGCCTTCGGTGGAGCTCCTTATGGGACCACGAAGCCTGACGGATGCACCGAAACGCAGTGTGGAACCGCGTGCGGGCGCTGCCACTGGGCCTTCGGTGGTGCTCCCTAACGGGCCACGAAACGTGTGACGGATGCACCGAAATGCAGGGTGGAACCACATGTGGGCGCTGCCACTGGGGCCTTCGGTGGTGCTCCTCATGCGCCGCCGACACTGGGGGGTGGATCCACATGCGGGCGCTGCCATTGGAGCCTTCGGTGGACTTCCCTATGTGACCACGAGACGTGTGAGGAGTGCGCCGACATGGAGGCGCAGCCCACTTCGAAGTTCGTTGTGGGCTTTGTTGGTACTCTCGAGGCCTCCAGAGGCTACCTCGAGGCTATGGGGACCCTCCGAGACTCCCAGGGACTTTTGGAGGCCTGGAGGGAGTCGTGGGGCACCGATGATGCGGGAAAACGCGGAAGCGCCACAGGGGGTCTTCTTCAAGTCGGCACGATCGAAATTGTACGGAAATAATGGGTACGATCCCCAACAGAAGTTCTTTTTCATTTTGAACAGGCCTCGCTGTCCTCGCCGCCGCGGAAGTTGTCCATTTGAGACGGGAGGCCGCCTGTCCAACGGCGGCCGCTGTCGGTTTAGGGCAACATTTGCTGTTGTGCATCGTAGCCATTTTTTTCGTATTCGTATCGGGCGTCCAGATCAAGGGCGTCACCACCGAGGATGGAGACTCAGGGCGCGCTTGCAACAGCCCACTATGCGCGCGATCTTGTCGTGCCCCACGAAACCTTGACATCGTAGGAGGACAACTATTGTTTACAGGTCCACCTCGTTCTCCCCCTCCTGCCCCACGAATTGGGACAACAAGCAGAAGATGAGGGCGGAGGGAGGAGGATGCAGGTGGATCTGCGTAACTGTTCGATACTCACCAGAGCCTGCGCCAGGAAGCTGGACACATGACGTGGCTGGCCTGGGCGAGAGCTGGATACACGTGTGGTCGCATCTCGTTCCCGCGCTCGGCCCTCGTGTGGCCGGATATGCCACACCTCCGGGTGAGTGTCCAGCGCGTGGCCGCCGCATGTCCCGCGCGTGAATCCGGCCATGTGTGCTCCCAGCTTCCTGGCACATGCTTGTGGCCCCCTCTCGGCGGTGATCCCTCTCGGCGCCCCCCCCCCCCCCCCAGAGAATTCGGCTCGGTGCCCAGAGCTCCCCCGCGGCCTCAGGGCTCAGTCCGTCTGCAACGCCCAGTACGCGCTGGAGCACGGCCGCCTCAGGCCCACGAGCTGCACCCGGCAGAAGACCGGCAAGATCCGTTTCTACTTCGGCAAGTACGCGGGCAAGACCGAGATGGACGAGGGCCTGCCGCCTGCCTGCCCCGAGGGGAGCGCGGTGGTGCCGCTGGCGCGCCTGTCAGACGGGGCCTCCAGCATGTCGCTGAACGAGCGGCAGGGCAGCGAGCAGGCCGGCAAGCCGTCCGGCGAGAACGGGCATCGGGGGTTGCTAAACGTGCCCCTGGCCCAAGATACCCCTAGCCTTCCGCCTCATTTTGGAGCCACTGTCACTGGGGCCCTGCGGGCCTCGTGAGGGGTGCTCTGGGGGCCGTGGGGGCACCTTGTTCCAGGGGCACTCCTAGCAATCCCCGAAGGCAGGAGGCGAGACAGTCCCGCAGCTCCGGCTCCTTCCTGTCGCTCGTGCTGTTGTTTTGCAGCTCGATGACACAGATCCTGATCGTGTACTCCGTCGGGGTGGAGGTGGTGAACGCGTGCAGAGCCGAAAGCTTCTGCGCCCAGGCGCACGAGGCCCGGCGGACGAACACCATTGTGGAACGACACCTCCTGCCTCGGGGGACGTCTGCCCTTGACACCCCTCTGGTCTTACCGCGCGCGTATGACGTTCCAGCCGCCCTCGCACACAGTTCCAGCATGGCAGAAGCTTTGTCGAGCAGGGGGAGGATGAGGCGGAGGAGGAGGCGGAGAAGGAGGAGGAAGAAGATGAAGAAGAAAAATAATAAGACGAATGATAAGCAAAATAATACCAATAATACGAATATTAATAATGAGAATAATTATACTACGAATACTAATGAGACGAATAATAATAATAATAACACGCATAACACTAGACACAAAACTCATACGCATAAGCATAAGCATACTAACAATAAAACTGAGGCAAAAATGATAAAAACAACTGCTAATACTTGTGATCGTAAGAAGACGCGAATAATACTGACACAATTAATTGTTTTATTACCAATACAAATGAGAAAGAAGAAACAACATAATAACAAGAGAAACAGGCATACTCATAATAAGAAGAGGAGGAGGAGGCGGAGGAGGAGGCGGGGGAGGAGGAGGACGAGGAGGCGGAGGAGGAAGAGGAGGCGGAGGAGGAGAAGGAGGATCGTGCCTTTTTGTTGGTCCACCGAGAGGCAGACCACTGCACCCAGGCGAAGTGCGAGGAGTTCGCCGTGAGCGAGCGCCTCATGAGCTACAAGTTCTGCGAGGCCGTCTCCTGGGTCGACGAGGCTACGGATCACAGCCAGGAGTCCTCTGCGCCTGGGGTGTCGTCTGCCCTTGTCTCTCCTCATCCTCTTCGCTCGACGCTGCTGCTGCTGCTGCTGTGGGCGAGAAGGGGGAGGAGGAGGGAGGGAGGGAGCGAATGAGAGGGAGGAGGAGGTTGAGGGTGAGGAGGAGGAGGCGGAGGAGGAGGAGGAGTCGGAGGAGGAGGAGGAGGAGGGGGCGGTGGAGGAGGAGGAGGAGGAGGAGGAGGAGGAGGAGGAGGAGGAGGAGGAGGAGGAGGAGGAGGAGGAGGAGGAGGAGGAGGAGGAGGCAAGAACCTCGACGAGAGGGAGGAACAGGCGGCGTGCATGTCCCGCCCCGCGACTCAGGAGCTCTGCGCCTCGGCCATCGCTGGCGTGTCCTGCTGCACGAACTGCATACCCGCCGAGTTGTTTTGGTGGCTGGGCGGTGACGACCCCGGGGCGCGCCGGGGGGGAGGCTTGTCCAAGGGGGTTGTCCGGATCCCCGCTGGGTTGTCCAAGGGGTTGTCTGGGGTATGTCGTGTTGTCGTCATGTGTTGTCTGGGTTCTCCCTGGGGTTGTCCGGGGATTTAGTCGATTGGATTATTGTTTCATTGAACATCGTAGATTCGGTGGCAAATCATGGGAGCCTTGCGTGCCCGCGTAATTCGGTCTTCAGAGAGCATGGGCGTGCGCAATCGTCTGGTAATCGATGAGAAGGCGCCGACTTAGCGCCGATTAGCGTCGACTGGCGTCGATTCAGCGCCGATTAGAATCGATTACACCGATGCGCAAGAGCCAGCAAGCAAGATGTGATGTCACTCCCACTGCGTTGCCACCGTGAGGGGGAGGGGGTACGTCCTCTTCTCTCCTGCCCACTCCCATTCATGCCTCTTCTCGCCTGCCCCCCTTCTCGCCTGCCTCTTCGTCCTGCCCCTCCTGAGGAGGAAGCGCAGACATGCGTCAGGGCTCGTGGACTGGCGACTGGCGCGCTCCATCGCCAAAGCGGGCGGCAGTGGCCTCATGCCTAGGGGGCGGGGGGTGCTCTCCCCGATCCGTGGATCTGGCGCCCGCTCGCCGGATTCACCACTCGCACCGCCTCCTTCCTCGCCGCCCCGGGCGGGGCAGAGGGGAGAAGGGGGGGGGCAGAGGAGAGGGGTGCGCGAGGAGGCATGGAGGGGTGCGAGAGTGGGGGGGGAGAGGAAGCTACGTGCGCTCGCGCCATGTCTGACATCCTACGCCGCCCACCCGTCCCTTCCCATTGCGCAGAGCTTTTTCCGCTGTCCGCCGACGGGTGTCATGGCGGGCCTAGACCCCTCCTCAAAAGGACACCATCGTGTGATGCGCAGTCAGGACAAGTGGCCTGTGTACATCGGGGGAGGAGCAGGATGTGGCAGATGAGCGTGAGGATGGGTACGAGGAAGAGGAGGATGATGAGGCTGGAGGAGGAGGAGGAGGAGGAGGAGGAGAGGCCGTGGGATTGTGGAGTCGCACGTCGTTTTGATATGATTTTCATCTAGTGGAACGCTCCTTCATCCTTCAACTTTGATATTTTTGACATTTTTATTTTCACCGTGCTCCCCTCATAATATGTTTCTCTCGTTATATCGCTATCTCGTTTTTTCTCTCTCTCTCTCTCTCTCTTTGTGTCTCTCTGTCTATATTCTGCACCAGGCCAATGCATGTCGATGCGACACCAATCCCTTTGCCAACCAATGCCAATGCCAATGCAATGTGAATGGGGGAATCCTTTCGCTTGGTGGATTTGAATAAGAATCCTTTGTGGGCGGTGTCATTGCGAATCCTTCTTCGGAGGATTTGAAAAGAAATGCCTTTGTGGAGGGTTTCAATAGGGATCCTCTTGTGGAGGGTTTCACTCGGAATCCTTCTTGTGGGGGGTTCAGTAGGAGTCCTTCTGTGGAGGGAGCCATAGGACTCGCCAGCGCAATGCCAACGCAATGCCGAAGCAGTGCCATCGCAATGCCAAACCAATGCGAAGGCGATCCAATGCCAATGCAAATGCAATGCCAATGGGGAGGAACCTTTTGTGGTAGATGTCGAAAAAGGGATCATCTTTCTGGAGGGTTTCATTAGGAATCGTTGTGCGAAGGGAGGCACAAGGACCCGCTAGCGCAATGCCAGCGCAATGCCCAAGCCGTGCCCGATCCAATGCCGATGGGGGAATCTTTTCGCTCGGTAGATTTCAATCAGAATCTTTTGTGGACGGTGTCATTACGAGTCCTTATTTGGAGGATTTCAATCGGAATCACTCTGTGGAAGGTTTCGATAGGGATCCTCCTGTGGAGGGTTTCACTCGGAATCCTTTTGTGGGGGTTCAGTAGGAGTCCTTCTGCGGAGGGGGCCACTCGGACTCGCCAGCGCAATGCCAACGCAATGCCGAAGCAGTGCCATCGTAATGCCAAACCAATGCCAAGGCGATCCCAATCCAATGCCACTGCAATGCCAATGGGGGGAATCCTTTGTTGTATATTCCAAACGGAACCTTGCTTGTGGAGGGTTTTCATTAGGAATCGTTCTGCGAAGGGAGGCACTCGGACTCGCCAGCACAATGCCAAAGCAGTGCCAACTCCATGCCAAACCAACGCCAAGGCGATCCCAACCCAATGCCAGTGCAACGCCAATGGGGTGGATTGCTTGTGGCAGCGCTCACTAGCAATCCTTCGAAGAACCCTTCGGTGGATGGTGTCATCCACAAAGGAATCCTTCTAAGGACCCTTCTTCGGAGGAGTGGAGGATTGCAGTGTGAATCCTTTGGGGGGGGGGGGGGGCGTAGGCATCATTCTCGTGGACGTATACAATCGGAATCCTTATGTGGAGCGTTTGGTTGGGACTCGCCAGCGCAATGCCATCGCAATGCAAACGCACGGCTAACCCACTGCCATCGCAATGCCAACGCAATGCCAATTCGATGTCAAACCGTTACCAAACCAATGCCAATGCAATGTCGATGGCACGATTCCAGTCGTTCAACAGATTCCAACAGAAATCCTTATGTGGATGATTTGGTTACGGACCCCTATTCAGAGGAAATTGTCAGGAATCTTATTGTGAAGGGTTTCGGCAGGAATCCTTCTGTGGAGGGTTTCACCATGAACCCCTCATGTGGGGGACCCTTCGTGTGGAAGTTTTAACTAGGAATCCTTCTGTGGTCGGAGGCTTTAAAGTCGCCAGCGCAATGCCAAAGCAATGCCAAAGCAGTGCCAAACCAATGCCATGGCATTCCCGATATCCCAATCCAATGCCAATGAGATGCCTGGGGGAAATCGCTTGTGGTCAGTTTCGATAGGACTCCTTCGATGGAGGGCTTCGAAGGGAATCCTGCGTTGAAGGGGATTAATACGAACCCTTCTTGTGGAATGTCTCAATCGGAATCCTTCTTGTGTGGGTTCCAATCGGAATCATTCTGCGAAGGGAGGCATTGGAACTCGGAAGCACAGTGCCAGCGCAATGCCAAAGCAGTGCCAACGCAATGCCAAACTAATGCCAAGGCGATCCCAACCCAATGCCAATGCAATGCCAATGGGAAAAGCATTTGTGACAGATTTCAGTAGGAATCCTTCTGTGGAGGGTTTCGCATGAAATCCTTATGTGTAACGTTTCGAAATGAACCATGCTTTTGCAACGGTTTCGCTAGAAGTCCTTCTGGTAGAAGGTTTCCATATGATTCTGTTTGTGGAGGGTTCTACTAGGACCCACCAGCGCAATGCTTGCGACATGCAAGCGCAATGCCAACGCACTGCCAAGCGCGATGTCAACGCAATGCCAATGCGATACCAAACCATGGCCAAGCCAATGCCATTGCAATGCGCCTGTGGTATTTCTTTCTTTCGAAGCATCACAATAGCAAAACACTTGATTCTGGAGGAAGGAGGAGGAGGGCGGGGGAGAGACGAAGGAACGAGCAGAGCAGCGCGGAGGAGGAGGAAACGAGGAGGAGGACGCGGAGGTGAAGAAGGAGGCGGAGGAGGAGGAGGAGGAGGAGGAGGAGGAGGAGGAGGAGGAGGAGGAGGAGGAGGAGGAGGAGGAGAGGAGGAGGAGGGGGGGAGTATGAAGAGGAGGGAGGAGGAGGAGGAGGAGGAGGAGGAGGAGGAGGAGGAGGAGGCGTTTCCTTGTTTTTTTTCTCTCATTCCCCCCAAGCAAAATAAGAAGACAACAAAACAACTCTGGAAGACCACCCCGTTTTTTTTGTTTTTTTGTTTTGTTTTGTTTTTTTGGGGGGGTCGGGGGGCAAAACAGAAAAACAACTCCTGGAGAAACGGGGGAGGAGGATAATGATGATGAGGAGGAGGAAGAGGAGGAGGAAAAGAGGCCAATGGGGAGGAGTGAGGAGACGGAGGAGGAGGAGGACGACGACGACACAGAACGCGCGGAGATTGCACAGAAGCAGTCGCGAACTCAGCGCGAAAGCCTCGCGCGCGCTTTTGAACCCCTGCGACTCCACAATCCCCCGTTCTCGAGGAGGAGGAGGAGGAGGAGGAGCAGGAGGAGAAGGAGAAGGAGCATGAGGAGGAGCAGGAGGAGGAGGAGGAGGAGGAGGAGGAGGATGAGGAGGAGGAGGAGGAGGAGGAGGGAGGAGGAGAGGAGGAGGAGGAGGAGTCACGAATGAGGCCTGGGTGCCCCAGGCGTGGGCACAAACCGCCAGCCAGTTCCTGAGCCTGCTGGTGCTGCTCCTGGCCCTGGCCGTGAGCCGGCAGGCGGCCGCCGCGGAGTTCGGGGCGAAGACGTGCACCAACTGCCTGGAGGTCCGGTGACCCGTGCTCGCCCGCTGCCCCCTCGGGGGCAGCGCTTGGGGGGTGGGGCACCATGAGGTGGCAAGGGGCGAGGAGGCGAGGAGCGAGGAGGGTGAAGCCGAGAGCGAGGAGGGCGATGGGGGCGAGGGGGGCGAGGAGGGCGAGGCCGAGAGCGAGGAGTGGCGAGGAGGGCGGGGCGTGGAGGGCGAGGGGGGCGAGGAGGGCGAGGGGGGCGAGGAGGGCGGAGGGCGAGGAGAGCGAGGAGGACGAGGGTGAGAGGAGGACGATGGGGGGTTGGTGGGGGGGTTGCGTCGGTCCCACATCGCCCGTGCATCGCCGTGGGGGTCCCGACCGCCCACCCCGCACAGCAGCGTGGGGGTTCGCCATCGAGTCAGGAGGGGGAAAACCCACCGACACAATTAACCGTCGACTCTCAGGAAAATGTAGGAAAATATGGGCAGTGTGGGGGGGGGGGAAGACGAACATCCAGAACATATGAAATAATATTCGTAGGGAATCCTTGGACTTGTGTGTATTTCTTTGTGTGTTTGTGGGCCCCTTCATCGAGGGCCTGTCGCTGGCCCGTCGGCGATGCATCGTCGATTCCGGCTCGATGTTTCCACCCCCCCCCCCTCCCCCAGAGCTGGTCGCCCCCTTCGCCCCCCTTCGGCCCATCCTTCGGCAGGCGCGCCTCGCCGAAGCGACGGGCAGGTACAAACTCACAGTTCCGAGGCCACGGCCTCCACGCCATGCCCTAGTGGGCACGGGCACTCCTGTCGGCGCCTCTCGCGCAGCCCCGGGCACGCTCCGCGCGCTGGGGAGCGGGTTCTGGCGCCGATCTTCAAGAACTCCGCGCGGACTTCCTACAGTTAATGTTTCGGAGGTTGATATATCTCCTACCCTGACACGTCGATTAGCGAATTGGCCGTTTTCGGTTCGCGAGAGGGCGTCGCGGCCGTCATTTTTAGGGGTCCAGGTCCGTCGGTTTCGGTCCTAGTCCGTTTTCACTAAAAAGGGTGGTTTACTAAAAGGAGGTTTGTCCACCGCCGAATTTTTCAGCCGCTGTTCCCCCAGACGAACCCAGAAGCGATCGAGTCGCCGAGGCTGGGGAGGGGCCGCAGCGCACAGGACACGAGGGGCCCGCTGGGAATCGAATGGGGGGGGGCCGGACGAGAAAGCCAGCTGGCTTGGATATGCTGATATGCTGCTCACAGGCGAAGCGTCTCGCCTGAGAGAGGGGAGGGAAGGCGAGGGGCAAGTTGGCGGATGGGGTGGGGGGAGGGGAGGGGAGCGGCGCGGAAGGGGGAGGGTAAGCAGACGTTTCTGTCACCTGGCCACTGTCATGACCCCCCCCTGGGAGGATTGGGGCCCCTTTCGGCAGAACTAGCTCGAAACGAGCCTCATACGGTGGTGCCAATGCCCCGACTGGCCTTCAGCCACGCTGTGGCTCACGCGCTTCTTCGACAGACAACATGACGCTTCTAGTATCCCCACCGGCCCATTCAGCAACGATTCACGGGCGAGTTGCCTAGGTCAGTGGTGCGATTGATAATAGCCAGCGTGGACCCCAAATAGTGATTCCCTACAATTCTATGCGGTGCGATCTAGGTGGTGCAATCAACGTGGTGCAATCTAGGTTGACACGCAAAGCAATGCAAATCAACGCAATGCAATGCCATGCAATGCCATGCCATGCCATGCAATGCATTGCAATGCAACGCAATGCAATGCAATGCAAAGCAATGCAAATCACTGCAACACAAATCAAATCAATGCAAAGCAATGCAACGCAATGCAGTGTAATTGCGCAATTTAACGCAATGCCGATCAATGCAAATCAATGATATCGATGCAACGCTATGCAAACCAATGCAATCCACTGCCAAGCAACACCAAACATTGCAAAGCAATGCAAAGCAGTGCAACGCAGTGGAACGCAATGCAAAGCGATGCAAAGCAGTGCAAAGCAATGCAATGCGATGCGATTGCAATGCAACGCATTGCCAACCAATGCTAAGCAATGCAAAGCAATGCCAATCAACCTAACACAAGGCAAACCAATGCACAGCAATGGAAAACGATGCAAAGCAATGCCGTGCAGTGTAAGCAGTGCAGAGCAACGCAACGGAGTGCGGAGGAATGCAAAGCGGGCGGCGACGAGGCGGCGGGCGGTGACGAGGCGGCGATGGCGGCCACATGGCGGCCAGACCGGCCCGTAGGATCAGTTCCATAGAAGACAGTAGGAGTCCCCAGGTGCACGCACTGTTTGGGAAATGTGTAATACTCATGAAGCCGGCGCGTGGATCCCGACCGGCGAGAGGAGGTTACGACCAGGGAGCGGAAGGCAGTGCGCCGATGCATCTTTGATGCGGCGCCACATTCCGACCCAGTCCGCTCGCTCCAGCCCCTGTTTGGGGCGGCCGCCAGAGACGGGGGCAGCTCGGGACCCTCGGGGACGGGGCTGGCGGAGGACGCCGGCGGCAGCAGCATGCAGCTCTAGGGCCCTGGTCAGAGGGGGACAGTCGACTAGACGTGGGAGTGACCTTTCGCCGGAGTGACCTCTTGTGCGGGCCCATCGGGGCCCCCCGATCGCCGAACGCGAGGCGGCAGTGACGTCCTGCGCGCTTGGGTTTGGTCCCCCCGCAGCCCCCGAAACGCCGCGCACCAAAGGTCACCCTTGCCCAGGGTCCCTCTTGCGTGTGGCCGAGACAGGGCCAGCGAGGGGTATCGGTGCCAGCTTGGTGCAGCGCCAGGGCGGGGGACGGTGGGCGGCAGGCTTGGCCAGCCATGTTTCGAGACGCCTGTGGGCGGCCGGGCAGGTGGAGTTCGTTCACAACTTCCTGAATCCTGACGGCGACGCCTTCTTCATGACAGAGCAGATCGCCACAGGCTTCCTGGACAGGGTGTTCCGGATCGCGAACCCCGCGTTCATGGCGCAACGGGTTTCGTCGAAAAAGAAAAGTGGGGCGCCGCCAGAGTTGACGCACGGCGGATCAGAGGAATACGTGCCTGAGCTGGACCACGAAAGCAACAATTGGCAGGAATTCTTCTATGCTAGGAAGCGTCTGGCAGAGGTGAGTGGCCGCCCGTTCGAGCGTGCCTTCCACGTTCCTTCGGTTCCCACGAGGTGCCTCGGAATGATCGACCCAGAACAGGACAATGGAGAGAAGGTAGTGGCCGCTTGGGCAGAGGTACCTGTCGTCAGCTACACGCAGATGGCTGTCTATCTGTCTCTTTCAATCTTGATTTCATGTTTCATTGTATCCAGCTGCCTGCGACTAACCCCGCCACCGTGTCAGCGCAGCGCCGCAGAAAGGAGGAGGTTGATTTCAAGGTCCACTCCTGTCTTAACTGGCGCGGGTCATGAACATGCCCTCCCTGTCCTCAGCCTTGTTCTCCTCGTCCTCCTCACTCCTCTTTCCTCCGTCCTCGTCCTCCCCCGTCTCCCCCAGTAGTCCTTTAT